CGCGCGCGCTGCGCCTGGACGACAGCAGGAAGCAGCAGCAGAAGCGGCAGCAGCAGCAGCAGCAGCAGCAGAAGCGGCAGCAGCAGCTCAAGCTCTCCCGCACCAAAGCGAAACGCCTTGGCCTCTTCGATGTTGCTGCAGACTTCGGGTGCAGCGGCAGCAGCAGAAGTCGCCGCAAGCAGCAGCAGCAGCAGCAGCAGCTGCAGCCGCAGCAGCAGCAGCAAAGTGGCCTAGGGCTGCAGGACTTGCTGCCGCTGTTTCAGCTGTGGCAGCAGTACGCGCTGTCAGTCTGCGGCGTGGAGTCCTCAGCAGCAGCAGCAGCAGCAGCCAGCAGCAGCAGCACTGGCAGCAGCAAGAGGAAGCAAAAGGGGGGGCCCCCGGGGGGCCCCCAGGGGCCCCCCAAAATGCATGCATTCAGCAGATGTGCTGCAGCAGCACAAATGGACCTTCATGGGGCTTGGGTGTCTGTACACCGCAGCAGCTGCCCCTCACTTTGCAATCTTGCGGGTCTAGTGGTGCTGGACACGCAGCAGGTGAGGGTTTAGGGTTTAGGGTTTAGGGTTTGGGGTTTAGGGTTGGGCTTAGTGGGGCGCGCCTGCTGCTGCCGCTGCTGCTGCTGCTGCTGCTGGTCGGGTTGCTGCTGGTGTCGCTGCTGCCGCTGCTGCGCGACGGGCGCCCCGCACCAGCTGCTGCAGCGTGTGCTGCTGCTGCTGCTGCTGCTGCAGTGTTTGCTGCTGCTGTGCGCGGACGGCGTGCTGCGGCGCGTGCCGAAAGCTGCTGCAGTCTTTTTGCTGCTGCTGCTCGACGGCTCTTCCTTTTACCTCCAGGGGCCCCAACTGCAGCACAACCCAGCAGCAAGAAGCAAACACAAACTCAAACGCAAACAAACTATCCTCCTCTAAACTCTTACCAAGGGGGCCCCCCAGGGGCCCCCAAAGGGCCCCCCAGGGGCCCCCAAAGGGCCCCCCAGGGGCCCCCAAAGGGCCCCCAAGGGGCCTCCAAGGGGCCCCCCAGGGGCTCCCAAAGGGCCCCACAGGGGCCCCCAAAGGGGACCCCACAGGGAGTCCCACAAGGGTCCCTACAGGGGCCCCACAGGGGCCCTTACAGGGGCCCCCGCAGGGGCCTCCAGGGGGGCCCCACAGGGGGCCCCACAGGGGCCCCCAGGGGGGCCTCACAGGGGTTTCCGCAATGGGCCCCCTCTGTAGAGGCGGGGCCCCTTCTGGGGGCCCCATAGGGGCCCCGCACAGGATGGGCCTTGAGGCCCATTCGGGGTCTTTTCCAGGGGTTATGGGGGCCCCTATGGGGCCCCATATGGGGGCCCCTATTGGGGCACCCATGGGGGCCCCTCTTGAGCTGTCAAAGCCCCCGAGGGGCCTCTCAGAGGGGCCCCTGAAGGCAACTGGCCCAGCTGGGGGCCCCCAGGGGCCGCAGGGGGCCCCTTATATAAGGGGCTCCAGGGGGCCCCTTATATCGAGGGGGCCCCCGAAGGCTAGAGAATCCCAAGGGGGCCCCCGAACCTCCTCGGGCCCCACGCCTAGGGGCCTCTGAGGGGCCCTTGAGGGGCCCCTGAAGAGCCCCTGAGGGGCCCCCAAGGGGCCCCTCAAGAACCCTTAAGGGCCCCCTAAGGGGCCCCTTAGGACCCTTAAGGGGCCGCCGGAAGCCCCCTTAGGGGCCCCTCAGGGGCCCCTCAGGGGCCCCTGAGG